ATATGAATTAGAATGATCTGTAGTGTCTGCTTGCACTGTAATGCTCCGTAGACTGAACTCTTGACCTCTTTGCAGGGTATATATAGTTACCCCTGCCAAGCTCCACCTATAGGTGGGTCACTATAATATTATAATTCATTTTTATGTGAGCTTATTTTCTGCCTAATTCATTGCATTCAACCGTCAAAAAATATACCTCCCATAACATCCAATTAATTACTACTATGCACCGCCCACCCTTGTCACTCCACCCAGCATGCATTCACAACATTGAGGTGGGCAACTAGTGCAAGCCAATCATTTAATAAAACATTAACACAACAGATAACTAGGACAACAAAAAAAGGGTCAATAGCCTAAGTCACCCACATTACTGCCACCACTTACAACCCTAACTTCTTTGAAACTTCCAGTCTTGCCTCCATGGAGTCCTTCACATAACCATCTTTTGCTGTTTCTGATCTCCATTGTCCATGCCGCTTGAACATCTGGTCTTGCACTACTTGATTCGCAGCCAAAGTTGGTCCGCCCGCTCTAAAACTATGGGTACCGAATAAAGCTGGGTCATACCCAAGGGACTGAAGTTTGGCTTGGAGTAGCTCTCGAATCCTAGTGTAGCTGAGGGATCCCAATTCCCTCAGCTTCTCTCCGTTTCTTGTGTGAACAATACCACGGAACAACTGCTCAGTATTGTCTGGGTTAATAGCAGCTAGACTGAAATACTGCTCATGTCGTGTGACAGGACAAGTAGCAGAACGTGAGCGAACGACAAACTCATCACCCTGGTGTAGCTGATCTGTCTTGCTCGATAGAATCTTTATGACCATATGACCTGGATAAAACTGCACATCGCAACAACATAGACTGGCCACTTCATCAACTTTCAAAAAAGCAGAGAATGCTACGAGAGCAATAGCAACTGTCCGTGCCTCCGAGAGGCTAGGTGAAGAGCCAGCTGCGTCGACCAAGCCTTTTAACATAGCCAGCATTATAGGCTCCTTCTTCCTCCTTGGTTTAGCTAACAATCTCTGTAAGCCAGCAAGCACTGTCTTAATGAAGGGCTCAAGTGCAACTGGCTGAGAGCCAACCGATTGGTTTATCCATGACACAGCATTAACTGCTTCCTCCACAGCAGCTTTAGATTGGGAGTGGACTGCAATATGCTGGAGATATAATGCAAACTGTAGTGGGATTACCAAGAAAAGTTTGGATCCCTT